ACCGGACGGACTGGCTAAGCAGTCCGTTCGGTCTACACACCTTAGTTCGTTCGGTCCAACATCTTGGTCCGAACGGACTGAGGTCGTTTAGTCCAAGGAGACGAAAAGCCCTAGATCGTCCGGTCCAGAGGACCAGACCGTTCGGTCTAGGTGGAAAAAATGCGATCAGATCACGTTCTTCGTCGTTTCGGTCCCGATTCAGATCCGATTTCAACCCCGTTTTCGCCTGTGAACTCAGAATAGAAGCCTCTTGCACACTATGGAACAAAGAACATGAAATCTACCCTAGATCCATAATCAAATCATGCATAGCATCAAAGCAAACACGGATTCAAACAATTCAAATCCTATAACGTGCGTGATCGGGTTCTAACAAAATCATGCAGAGCAACCAAGCTCTGATACCAGGCTCTGATAGGCGGTCTCTAGCAAGACACTATGACTACTTATCTCGAATAGAGTTTGTTCGTGATCTTACGAACGCCAATGATGATTCCGGTTGATGATCCTTTTGTATCACGATATCATATGTCGAATATAAGGCATGGACAAACCACCTTATCTGATTCGACTGCTTTCTCGTTCACTGAGTTCGACTGTCTGAAATAGACGACGTTCGTCTATAGTGCGGCCACACATTTCTATAGTCTCGCTCACACGAGGGGCCCAGCGATATCTCTCTCTTTTACGAGAGGTACAAATCCCGTCTTGACTATCTACAATCTAGCACATGATTCGTTTCGTATCTGATACACGCCTTTATAGTCCTCCTGTTACGCAGGACGTTTGACGTAATCAAAGTACGCAACTCCTCATGTTGGATTCCGTAGATATCTCAGGTCTTAGGATCCAATCATGGAACCGTCATATGAGATTCAAGTCATGACGCTAGTCCATGTGACAATCTCATGCGGGTCAATCCGGTATTGCGTTCTCCAATGAATACCTATGATTGTGATCGTATCCAATACCTATGATCATCTATGTGATCATCAATCACACATCATACTAGTCTTTTATGTCGTTATTCCCATAACGACACAAGACTAGGGAGTTAAGTATCATTCATAATGATACATGGATTCCATAACACATCTAGTATGCAAGAACATGTAATGAATCAAATACTCTCATAAACCATAGAAAGTATCAATACATCAAATGTATCTAAATAAACCTCATAAACAGTACATCATAGAGCACTAAACCAACAATTTGTAATGCTAGGGATAATGCCCAGGTCTCCCACAAATTTCCTGATCCAAACAGCTTCCTTAGCTGCATCCGATGCTGCTCTGTACTCGGGTTCTGTAGTCGAATCTGCAACGGTTGGCTGTTTGGAACTCTTCCAACTAATAAGCCCACCGTTCAGGCAGAAAACGTAACCTGACTGCGATCTGAAGTCATCTCTGTCGGTTTGGAAACTAGCATCGGTATAACCCTTTATAGCGAGCTCGTCTTCCAATCCGCCATACACTAAGAACAAATCCTTAGTCCTTCTCAAGTACTTAAGGATGTTCTTGACCGCAATCCAGTGAGCCTCACCTGGTGTAGACTAATATCTACTAGTCATGCTCAATGCATATGATACATCCGGACGAGTACACAACATGGCGTACATAATGGATCCAATTGCCGAGGCATATAGAATCGTACTCATGCGCTCTTGCTCATCATGTGTCTTTGGACACCGAGTTTTGCTAAGAGCCACGTCATGTCCCATTGGCAAGGCACCCCTCTTGGAGTCTTGCATCTTGAACCGATTCAAGACCTTGTCAATGTATGTACTCTGACGTAGACCAAGAAACCTTCTCGATCTATCTCTATAGATCTTGATGCCTAGAATGTAGGCGGCTTCTCCTAAGTCCTTCATCGAAAAAACTGATCCTAGCCAGGATTTTACTCCTTGCAAGGTAGGAATGTCATTTCCGATGAGCAATATATCATCCACATAAAGCACAAGGAAGACCACTGCGCTCCCACTGACCTTCTTGTAAATGCATGGCTCATCTTCGTTTTGCTTTGCAAGAAGCCAAACGTTTTGACTGCCTCGTCAAATCGAAGATTCCAGCCCCTCGAAGCCTGCTTCAGTCCATAAATGGATAATCAATACAAAGTCAAAATGTCATATCACGGATCATCCTAGAGCATCACAACCAACATAATGGAGACAAGAAAAATTCTACATTTCTCCATCGTTTATACCTAGATTTCCACGTATGATATTATGATATTTATTCCCTTTCTTCTATGGTTAGGCATTTCGATTTTTGATTTAATTTATTTATGTTTGTTTTTTCAATTTAGAAAATTTAATTGTGTTTAAGTTTGTGTTAGATTCGAGTTTTAATGATAGAAATACTTATTTGTAAAAAAATACGATTTTTTGGTTATTTTTATATTCGGTTCGCATTTGTTTTTTGAATTATAAACTAACATATACTTATTTGGATTTTATATCAAGTTCATTTTGGTTACTCTACGTATTATATAGTTAAGATAGATTCGATTTATGAATAACCATTCTTGATATCAAACCCTGCTGTCTAGTTTCTCGCTGCGTCTGCAATTTGCGTTTGCGTTTTATGTATAATGGCATTTAGCGCATCCCTTGATTATCAAACGCAAAAATAACCTCTTTCTACTCTTTTCAACATTTATTTTTTCTCATGGATTAGGATTTAGATTGTTAAATAACATAATATTTTAGTAAATAATTTTGGTATATATATATATTAAATTAAATGTAATAAATTCAAAGGCTAGAGAAGTCAGTTTTTTTATTACAAAACAGTGTAATGCTTGTAACCAATGGCAATGGACATTGGGTCTACACTTCGATCGAGGAATACTGTTGCATCATCATTTGAGTAGTGAAAGGGTGAGTTTTCTTTCTTTTCTTTTCTTTTTATTTTATTTTATTCCTTTCTCACGATCGTCAAATCATTTGATTTAATCTGTCACAATTTTAAATTTGCATAGACTGTAAAATGGACGGACGGGTTCGGGTTTAGAATTTTTTTACTCGGTATCAACTCGGTTCGGTAAACTTCGAGTCTATATTTGAGCATTCGAAACCCGGTTCTACATGGTTTTGGACGGGTTCGAATTTCATCTATTTTATTTAATAATAAAAATAATTTTTCTTCATAATCACAACATAACTATAAAAAATAATATAGTAGTAAACATTTAAAAATCATAAATTCAAAAAATATCTTTACAATTAACAATATTGAAATAATATATTCAAAAACAGGAAAATTACAAATAAATATATCAATTTGCTAATTTTTTACTGATAAATACATGAATTTTTTATCTCTTAAAAAATACATCAATTCGCAATTTTCTTCCAAATTATTACACGGACACTAACACCGTTAACTCTTAACGATTTTCGATGAACGGTGCCGACTTGGCTCACCAGATTTTCCACGTTAACACCACATGTTACTTCCACATAGATTGAGATATTACGATTATAGATTATACTCAATTAATGAAACTAAATTTGTGTTTTTTTTTTTGCAGAAAATTAGCACGATAATCTAAAGACTTGATTAACCAATGTCGGTGTTGGCAATAGTCCTCGAAATCTAGAGTTTGATCCTTAGATTTTCCCACATCGCCAGAGATTTTCAGATTTCCATAATTGAAATTTGGGCTAACCAAATTCTTGCACATAAAATAAAGCAAAATTCAACTTTTGTCATATAACTAAACATAATAAAAAGAGGTTATATCAATGAGTTAAATATGATAAAAAAAAAACATACAAGTTAAGTGTATCATTAGTATTAGAAAGTTACTTATTAATCAAATTAATCATGAGAACGAGTTAGTTAATTTCAAAAAATATATATTTTTTGGGTAAATTCAAAGAATATATTTCATAAATCTCTTTTTATTTTGCATTTGTTACATAATCAATTTAACTATTTTTTCAAATCATCACGAATCCGCGCGAAGCAAATTTTGAAAAACTTTTATTGTGCATTTTTAATATATATATTCTCCTTTAATTCAATATATATCCTCTAATTATTAATAAAAAATGAATTCTCCAGAGCAAAGGAATTAATGAATATAATTTTTAGATGGTGGATGAAAAAACTAAAATTTCAGAGTATTTAGAGAATTTATTTGAAAAAGAAGATTAACCGAATAGTTTTGTTTTATAAAACGATTAAATTTATATTGAATGAAAAGGCATGTATACAAATAATAAAACATTGGACGTCAGATGGCGACAAGAATTTTAAGGGGACAAAAAAGATTTCGAATCCGGCCTAAAACCCATTTGATCCTAGACTTGAAAGCTCGAAATCTTAATAAATTTAGATTAACCGCGTTTCGGGGTTCAGACTTTTTTACATCCCTAATTTTCCAATTACCTTTAACGAGTGATGATCATTTCGGATTTGGATTCGGTTATATCCGGATATCGTTATTTTCGTTATAAAAAATTATAATCATTCGGTTTTTATATAAACTTTGGTTCGATTCGGTTCGTTTATTTTTCGTTTAGGTTTTGTTTGGTTTCTATAAAAAAATTTATTTTTTTTAAAGAAATTGTAGGTTTTGCGGTTATTTTTTTATTTGGTTCGGTTTTGATTTTTTAAATTTAAAAAAAATAATCCATTCAAAACCATTCGGTTTTGATGTTGGTTTCGGTTCGAATACAATTATGTCTTATTCGGTTCGGTTCGGTTCGGTTCGATTATTCGGTTAATAAGCGAATTGACCACCTACGCCTTTTAACTATTTGAAAAATCACAATAAACCATATATGTATATAATGAACTCCACTAATTATGTATCTTAATGCATAGTCTATTTAAAAGAAAGTGGAATAAATTTCATCCCAAATCTAAATTTAATATTCATTCTCTCTCTTTCTCTCTCTCTCTACTTTGAATTTCAAAGACGCTCGCCCTCCCAATTTTCAAAGCCCGCCTCTGCTCTATTCGCCTCTCTGTCTCCCCCCTTTTTATAAATCTCTCTCTCATTAATCTCTCTCAGAAATCAAAATCTCTCTCTCTCTCTCTCTACACACACTGTTCGTAGGAAAATGGTGCGTGACGTTCAGCTTCCGTGCGACGGCGATGGCGCGTGCATGCGGTGCAAGGCGAAGCCTCCGCCGGAGGAGACCCTCAGGTGTGGCACGTGCGACGCGCCTTGGCACGTGCCCTGCCTCTCTACCCCTCCCGAAACCCTCTCCTCCACTCTCCAGTGGCAGTGCCCTGACTGCTCCGGTGACGTCGATACGCTTCCCGCTTCTGGAGTCGCCGGTGACCTCGTGGCGGCGATCCGCGCTATCGAGGCGGACGAGTCGTTGTCTGAGAAGGAGAAGGCCAAGAAGAGGCAAGAGCTGATGGGTGGGAAAGTTGTCGGAGATGACGATGAGGAGTGCGGGAAGAAAGAGGATCATGCTGGGATGGAGAACGATGTTATCGCTGCTCTGGGCGAGAATTTAAACTGCTCTTTCTGCATTCAGATCCCTGAGAGGCCCGTGACGGTTCGTTTTCCATTGCTATTGCTCTCTCGCTTTACGCATTAACTCACATGGGTATGTAGTCTAGTATATCCAATGTGTTTCTTCTCTTAGATTCCTTCTATGGCTATGGTGACAGTCTCTTTATGTCATGTGCGTTCTGTGTTCTTATTTTCTATACCCAGAATTTTGTTAACGGGCATTCATATTTTCCTACATTTGAATGATATGATACTCCAAATCCATCAATAGTTATGATAAATAAGCCTGCACGACGATTTTTGGAGCTTGTTTGGATGTGGTATTGATCCATTTTGTTCAAATTTTTTGTTCTGATCGATCCTTGCATGTTGAGAGCTAGTTTTAAATTTCCGGTTTTCATCTATTCCTTTGTCAGAATGTGAGTATAGAGGCAAGAATTACCCTGAGCGATCTGACTGGAGCTCGTTTGTTACTTTTCAGACACCATGTGGGCACAACTTCTGCTTGAAATGTTTCCAGAAATGGATTGGGCAAGGGAAGCGGACCTGCGCAAAATGCCGCAACCCTATTCCAAATAAGATGGCAAGCAACCCGAGGATCAATGCTGCACTTGTTTCTGCTATTCGTCTGGCAAAAACACCCAAAAGCTCTGCTGCTGCTGCTGCAAAGGTCTACCATTTTATCCGCAATGAAGACCGTCCAGATAAAGCATTTACCACTGATCGAGCAAAGAAAACTGGGAAGGCCAATGCTGCTAGTGGTAGGATATATGTGACGATACCACCGGATCATTTTGGTCCTATACCAGCTGAAAACGATCCTATAAGAAATCAAGGTGTTCTGGTCGGAGAATTCTGGGAAGACAGGCTGGAATGTAGGCAGTGGGGGGCTCACTTCCCACATGTTGCTGGCATTGCTGGACAATCAGATTATGGATCTCAGTCAGTTGCTCTTTCCGGAGGATACGAGGATGATGAGGATCATGGGGAATGGTTCCTCTATACAGGAAGGTATGCAGTAGATGACTTGCTAGTATTTGTTTCTCATCTTATCCATGGATAAGTATTGGCTCATTTCATTAACCATCTTGTGCTTTTGTGTGTCTGACTGAGTACTTTCGGGAAGGGCTGTGTTTTAAATCGTATATATGTACGTCTCTCTTTTTACAACTCTCACTTGTGTTTTTCAGTGGAGGCAGAGACCTTAGTGGCAACAAAAGGACTAACAAGGATCAGTCTTTCGATCAGAAGTTTGACAAAATGAATGAAGCCCTCAGAGTTAGTTGCAAAATGGGTTATCCTGTTCGAGTTGTCAGGTTAGCTGCTTTTTCAGCAAAATTTTCTTATGTACGTTTATGCCATCTCTGAACCTGAAAGGTTGACTGAGTTAAGACACTTTGCCTTTCATCTATCTTGATGTAGTTGGGCTAAGACCGTCGAGCATCTGCTTTAGTGGGTTTAAGAAATTTGAACTTGTTGTGCCTTGTCTTTGATCTGTAAAGACATTTCTTCGCATACAATTACTTAGTATATTCAGGTTCATTGTATAGTTTGATCCTTTCTTCGGGATATATTTACTTCCAGTTTCAGCATTGGAAAACTTCGAGCTGAAAGTGGTGGGGTTTACTCTTACCCTAAATATGTGACCTCCTATCTTCATCCTGTACTTGAAATAAGCAGGTCTCACAAGGAAAAACGTTCTGCCTATGCCCCTGAGGTCGGTGTAAGATACGACGGGGTCTACAGGATTGAGAAGTGCTGGAGAAAAGTTGCTAGACAGGTAACATATCTAATGATCCAAATTAATTCACCAAATAACTTTTTTTTTTCCAATAATAGAATCTCAGCTGATGTATTCTTCTTCCACAGGGTTTTAAGGTCTGCCGTTACCTATTCGTTAGATGTGACAATGAACCTGCTCCATGGACCAGGTTTGCATTTTGATGTTTGAATACCTTCCACTTTCGTGCTCTTTGAGTAACTCCGTTAAAAGGTGCTTGACAATTCTACTACAGTGATGAGAATGGGGATTGCCCAAGACCTTTGCCTAAGATTCCAGAGCTTAAGAAAGCAGTTGATCTGTTTGAGAGAAAGGAAAGCCCATCTTGGGATTTTGATGTAAGATGCGTCTTTTACTCCATTCCCTGGTATCTTTTCTTATGTTGGATCCATGTGTCTTGGACATGAAGAGATGGATATACTACTACTAAGATATCTCATTCACTTAACTGCCATCCGGAATATCTGGACATATCCTGGCATAATTGTAGCAACTTGAGCTTTTATTTTCTCAATCTCAAGTAGTTTGTGAATGGACTTGAAATTTGTGTTTTCTTAATTCAAAGATTTGAAATTTTCTAATGTACTTCTCTTTATGTGTGACATGAGCAGAAAGCTGACAGGCGTTGGAAGTGGATGAAGCCTCCACCTGCTAGCAGAAAATCAGTTAATGCAATGGATCCTGAGGAGAGGAAGAGGGTAAGGAAAGCTATGAAGGAGGCACATTCCAACAATGTCAGGGACAAGCTTCTGAAAGGTCAGTCTTTTCAATTATATCTATTATAGGACCCCCATGGATGGAGCTCGAGTGTGTTTGCGTAGCTCCATATATTCACTAAGGAATTGGTGCTTTCTTTTTGGTGTTTCATGGAAGACATCAGATTTATCGTAATTGGGTTTTGTTGAGACAGAATTCAGTTGCCAAATCTGCTGTCAGACGATGAGTCTTCCAGTGACAACCCCTTGTGCTCATAACTTCTGCAAGGAATGCTTAGAAGCCAAATTTGCAGGGAAGACTCTTATGAGAGATAGAAGCAGAGGCGGACGCACACTCCGTACACAGAAGAACATCATGAACTGCCCTTGTTGCCCCACTGACATCTCTGATTTTCTCCAGAACCTTCAGGTAATAATGCATGGCTTTTGAACTATAGCATTTGCTCTTACACCAAACATCCCAAGTATATTGCTGCTTCTTTTCTTCACTATTGCAAGTTAGATATCTTTGCATACTCTTTTGTTTTTTAATAACAGGTCAACAGGGAAGTGATGGAAGTGATAGAGAAGCTGAAGATCAAGATTACGGCTGAGGAAGAGAATGCAGACCCTGTAGATGCATCAAGCGAAGAAGAGCCTGACACAGTCACAGATGGGAAGGATGAAAATGCAACTGGGTCAGAGTTCGAGAATGGGGAAGCCGCTGCAGGAGAAACCCCAGACAAGGCCGAACCCGAAACCAAACCTGAACCACTGTCTGAATCTGAACAAGAATATCCAAAGAAGCGTGTTAAACTGGACATTGGCAACATACCTCCTGTGGCTGCATTGAAGAGCGTTGAAACCGCCTGAGAGCTGTAATGGAACATAATATGCCTTTTGTAGAAGATGCAAGAGAAACATTTAGGAGGTTTTAATTCCGTTTGGGTTGTTTTTGGAATATGAGAAGAAACTGAACTCTGTCAAGTATGCATTATGACTCGGAGCACATTTGATCAATTTGATGAATGCTTTCTTTTAACCATTGGTTCCCTTTTATTTCAATTTGCTGTTGTGTTTGTTTACGATTACGACAGTCTTTTTCTTCTCTTCTCTTTACCCATTTAATTTTGAACGATCAGAAGCAAAAAGCCATCTCTGTTACGATTTTTTGGGAAAGGATCCATATAAAAAAACATATTAAACTAAATTTAAAATTTTGTGAATTTCTAAACTAAATTTGTTAAATATAAGAAAAAGAGTTAATATAAATAATCGTATTTTAAAATAATAAAATGATAAAAATAAACAAAACTATTAATTAGAACTTCATAGGTAATCTTCTTCAAAAGAATCACTCGTGCGATTAATACTATTCCATTCAGTCTTTCTGTAATTGAAAATAATGATATATATCTGTTAAAATGGAATATAATTAATATTTTAACGCTCTTAATTGATATAAAAAGGTGATTTAAAAATTAAAGTTAAAAATTGTGATAGATTTGTTTTGATTTGTTTTTAAATTTATGTAGAATTTTGTTTGAACCATGAATCGACATTTTTAATATAAAATAAAAGATACAGAATCACATGATTATTATGATTATTGGAAAATGTAATCCAAATGCGGTAAAAAAAATTGTAAACCCTTGAACAAACAAAATTTACTAAGATCAAATTTGGAAATTTTGGAAAGTAATAAAGATTAAAATTAATATATTTTTTTACTGTGTAAATCCCTTAAAATATGGTAGTGGGCAAAAAATTCCAGAATGTCAATCACGCCAGTCCAATCCAACCCGGTTTGGGTTCGATCCGAAAGTCCGAAGAATATTTCCAGACCGATATATTTAAATCCAAAGTCTGATATTTTTCGAATAGATTTAGATGCGAGTTTCAAATTTCGATCCAAAATTGACACCCTTACAGACAAGGACCTGAACGGCTCTCAATAGGAGTTATATGAAAAATGTCTTTGAAGTGATGTATGCCCTTCAAAACATATCCTCCAAAATGCAACGGTTCAAAAAAAATAAAAAACGGGCAAAATAACAAAAATATCCATAATTAAAATAACAAGTGGCTCAACTCCAAGAGGCATTCTTTTGAATTTCCTTAATCGCTATATAAGGATCCAATAAATAGAAGTTTCAAAATTTGGAAAAAAACCCTAAAAATTCATGAACTTGTATTTTAGAGTAATATTAATTCCTAAACTTGTAGAGGTGTCTATTAATTCTCAAACTTGCAAAATTGAACACGTTAAATCATGAACTTATTAAACGGTTCCATATTCGTCCATAGCGTTATTTGGTCAAAAAAACGAGTTGACCGATCCGACGTGGCGCGTGACGTGGCGAGTCACGTCGGATCGGTCAACTCGTTTTTTTGACCAAATAATGCTATGGACGAATATGGAACCGTTTAACAAGTTCAGGATTTAACGTGTTCAATTTTGCAAGTTTAGGAATTAATAGGCACCTCTACAAGTTTAAGAATTAATATTATTCCAAAATATAAGTTCAAATTTTTTTAGGGTTTTTGTGAATAAAATATGAGTATCTTTTAATTTCTAAATTGTCTATAAATTGTTTTAGAAAAAATTATATTAAAAAGAATATTTCTAAATTAAATATATTTTTTAATAGTTATGAATATGTAATCAAAACTGTGAAAACTAAAAATAAGATAATAAAATAATGTTGTGGAAGAAATGCACATCGAGCACATCACTATAATTTATTTATTTAAATAGATTATTCTAATGGTCCTAAATTAAGTTAAACTAATTGAATTAACAAAACATTTAATCAATGGTTCGTTCTTATCCAAAAATCTGTTTATTTATTTATTTACTTTGTTTTTATTCACACAAAACTTTTATTTAATTATTATTTACCTTGTTTTGTTTTGGCAAATTAGTGGTTCTCATTTCCGGGTCAATGCTAAATTGTACTCAAATAATTTTCTTCGTTCTTTCTACTCTTCCTAACGAGATTGAAAATCATATTAAATCTCATATAATTTCTACGATAAATGAATATTTATTCAAAAGAATAGTTTATAATTTTATTTTCATCCACAAACTGAGAAAAAAGAAATACAAGTGGAAAAAATATTCATTTGAATGTTGAGACTTTTTTTGGCAATGTTATTAGTTTCTATTGGAAAAATATTTTTAAAAAATGCATGTCTTAATTAAGCATATAAGTTTGGTGGATCCACGTTATTTACTCCCTTTCATTTTTTTCTGAAATTTTCTTACAGAAATTTAAATAATATATTAGTATAATTTGTCTGCTCCTCAGATTAGTCCAAACAATAAATTACAAAAAGAAAGTTTGAAAATTTAAAACAATAAAGATAATCAAAGACAAGAAAGAACAATAAAAAAACCTAAAAATTCCTAAAGTTATAATTTGGAGTAATATTAATTCCTAAACTTATAGAGGTGCCTATTAATTCCCAAACTTGCAAAATTGAACACGTTAAATCCTGAACTTGTTAAACGGTTCCATATTCGTCCATAACGTTATTTGGTAAAAAAAAACTTGTATAAATATGTAACTGATGTTATGGAATGAAGTTATGCTTTTTGATAAATCATCGTTAGTCACAAAACTCCATCGATCCCTTTCATTTCGGAAATCACAAAAGTATAGATTGAAAAACATCAACAATTCAGAAGCAGAGATCAGGCGGGACGCGGGAAGAACTTTTCAAAGTCTTAGTTACATCAAAGCCCGTGCCCGAGTTGCTATATTTGACGATGCATTATCACATAATTACGTTGCCTGATTCTAGTGGAGCAAATGAAATTATGTTGATTATGCATATTGCCGCTGCTGCATATCTTCCCCTTGGCATTGATTTGTCTCCCCATTTGTTTCCATTTGTTTTACCATAGAATCTTTATTTCCTTTTTTGTCGGGTTCATTAGTTTTTTTTTCCTAAACTAGGATTTCTATTTATTTGTACACTTTCTCATTAGGTCACACAAGTTATATTGGTCATACTAATTCAAGTTATGACTGCAATCCTAAATTGAAAAAACATGTCGATATTGTTGAAATAGAAACAAAATATGGAGATTTGATATGATTGATAATAATTAAAGGCATCATATCAATTAAGAATAAAATATATATCGTGTCAATTATATTTTGCCTTATTTGTTTCTTTCGTATCTTTATTTCCTTGTTTCTTTTAATGACTTTTCCTATAAATCTATGAATTATTTTCATTGTAATGTAACAAAAAGAAGAGATGTAGCAATAAAGTAATTCCGTTTATTTTCATTTGTCTTATTCTGTTTCCACATTTTATTTTTCAATATGCTATCAGAGCCTGGTTGCGATCTGAACTATATGTTTCTCTTTTTCTAATTTTCCAATCTCTTCTTTTCTTTTGCGTTTTGGATGTTCATATATCCAAATCGTTCAAAAAGGAGTAAAAAAAAAACCAGATTCAAACGATGTGTTATGAGAAAAAGAAGTCAAAGCTAAAAACTCTAAGATCAAGCAAGATGCTATGACAAAAAGAGTTAAAATTAGAACTTTAAAGTCAAGCGAAGTGATTTGAAAAAGGTTAGTATTCTCTAAATGAATGAAATTTGGTGTCTATGGATTGTTCTAATAACAGTGAAGTTTTTCATCATTTTGTTTTATCTTCAAGATTGATTTTTGAATTCTTTCAAAATCAATCTTGAGGGGGAATGTTGAAATAGAAACAAAATATGGAGATTTGATATGATTGATAATAATTAAAGGCATTATATCAATTAAGAATAAAATATATATCGTGTCAATTATATTTTGTCTTATTTGTTTCTTTTGTATCTTTATTTCCTTGTTTCTTTTAATAACTTTTCCTATAAATGTATGAATTATTTTCATTGTAATGTAACAAAAAGAAGAGATGTAACAATAAAGTAATTCCGTTTATTTTCATTTGTTTTATTCTGTTTCCACATTTTATTTTTCAATAGATATCATTATTTAACAATAATGTTGAGTTATGCCGACGATATTCGGGCTTAATGGGTCCAATTAATCATGGATCTCGTAATTATATATTGTGTTAAACTCTTTAAACATCTCTGAAAATTAAAAATTGGTATTGGATCGATCTACTTTTCTTTTGATTCACACTGCTCAAATCGTCTCACTGGTGATACATGTCACACTATTCACGCCATATAAAATTCTATTTGAATAACAGGTGGATCACACTAGTTATACCGTACAAATTTTTATGCAGATACGTTCTATTCCTTCGTCCAAAACGTAAATTCGAGTGGCTTGGTACGAAATATTGCTTCGCCGACGCTGCAATTCTATTTGTATAATTATACAAATACAAATCTCGTGTGGTACACGGAAACATTATTAAAAAAAAAATTGGGAGAAGAAGTTCGTTACATATCAAATAATATAATAAAATGTCGCAACTATTGGAGAGAGAGAGAGAGATGAACTTTGATTGATTGGTGTTTCCCAAATGGTCAATCAAGAAACTAATCTGATGTAATCAGCAATGATTAAATTTGTCCTCAACCCCTCCCGTTGTCCATTCGTTAAATTTATTAAATATGCCTTTCGCTTATTTGAGAACACATTTCAATATTTATATATTAGCACCTACACTACTGTCGGTCGAATACATATATTTTTTTTTGGTTAACTTATTTTTATGTTTTCTTTTTTTTTTCCCTTGTATTTTGGGAATGCTTTTTTTTTTCTTCAGGATTTGCCAAATCACGATCGATAGTTTTATAACCAAAGTGTTACCTCTTGCCATGGGTTCCAATCTTTTATATTCGATTGTCTTGTACAGTATTAAGTTAGTAATATAATTCACATTTCATATAAAAAAAAACAATAGGATGTATGGACAAACTAGTGAGAACCATCATAATATATAGAGATTACATGACAAACGATATTTAAAAGAAAAATAATTATAATTTGATGCATTGGTATCTAAAAATAAAGACAAATGCTAAATAATGCGAGTGACGTTGTTCTTTGTGACTATCATTTTAGTTTATAAAAAATCTCTGGTTAGCTAGAAAACATCTAGGTAGGTATCATTTCAAAAGAAGGTATAACTATCATATAATATATATATATTTTTTATTTTATTAACACATGTATGTTTAAAAGAGTGTTTTATTGCACTTGGAATTGGAAACACAAGGGGATGCTTCATGTTTGCTTGAGAAATGTAATTAATTATAAGTTTGTGTTCGAATGTTTGGAAAAACGAAATTAATGTAATTAACATTAGTTATTATCACATGTGATACACAAACACACACGCTTACGATTATAGTTGTAGCTATATATGCATGCATGTAATATTATACAAGGTGCAACACTTGGCTTGTCATGCAACCTCACCAAATGGGCTACGAAAGACATGGAAAACTGTTGGCATGTCTCTTTCCACGTAACAACTATCCTCATTTTCTAATTTCTTATTGCATATTATTTGACTATATCATCGTATAATTCTTGTACATAACCAAGAAAATGTAATTTTTTTACTAATGCATTTAATATGAAACGATGACCATAAAAGATTCTAAAGGAAAAAAAAAATACAAATACAAAGAGTACCTCTATTTATTTCATGTATAGGTGCTTTCTCCATAAACCTGAATCAAACCCTAATTTTCATTTTCTTTACTTTTTTTTTTCTTGGAGCAAAAGGAGGCCGAGGCCATCTAAATTTATTTTCAAATGGATTTTGTGACAGTGTGTCACATTTGGGTAACTGAAACTATAGGTTATATGTATGAAATATAGAAAAAATCTAAAAATGTGAATATACAAAGTCCAACTCTCTAACAAACATGTTTCACTCCTCAAATTTCAATGTAAACTTCACCAACTGTTAGTTGATTCAGACCAAACTGGATTCTGCCTCCAAAATATACACAAAAGAAAATAGGCACTACAAGAAACATTAAAATTTGCGACAGAAAAATCTGTCGCAAATACAAAAGAATATCTGTCGCAATTACAAATTTGCGACAGATTGCGACAGAAACAATTCTGTCCGTATATTGTTGTCGCAAAAGTTTGCCGGTCGTTAATCTGTCGTAAAGTTGCGACGGACAAAATATAATTATACATATACACATAAATTTATATACATATATATATACATACACATATATTCATATACATACATTTACATACACACATATATACATATACACACACATACATAAACACACATTCATACACAAAATTTACATACACATACATATATATTACATATATGCACATAATTATACATATACACATAAATTTATATACATATATATATACATACACATATATTCATATACATACATTTACATATACACATAACATATACATTACACACATACATAAACACACATTCATACATATTCACATATACACATACACATACATATATATATATTCACATACACATCACATAAACACACATAAACATTTATATATATGCATACACATTCACATTCATATTCACATTCACATACATACACAACACACATACATAAACACACACACATACACATACATACATAAACACATACACATTCACATTCATATATATATATATACACAACACATACATATACAAATCCATATACACGATATATATACACATACCTTGGCGAACTTTGAAGAAAAACAATTTGTTGGAGAAGATTGGAGAAGATTGAGATTTTTTTTAAAAAAAATTCGAAGTCTGGAGGAGAAAGACGAAGTCGCAGCTTTTATTAAGTGTTGCGACGGATATTGCAGTCGCAACCCGTCGCAAAACGAAAAATAAACCGCGAAAATTTAAAATTTTTTATCGAAAATAGCGGAAAAAAATAAAATTTAGATTTGCGACAGAAATTTCTGTCGCAACTCCGTTGAAAAAAAAAAAATAAACCGCGAAAATTTGAAAATTTTCATCGAAAATAATAAAAAAAATGAAATTATGATTTGCGACAGAAATTTCTGTCGCAAATCTGTCGCAAATTCCAAAAATAAATAACTTTAATTTAAAAATAAATAAAATTAATATTTGCGACAGAAATTTCTGTCGCAAATCTGTCGCAAATCCGCAATTTTAAAATTTCTGTTGCAAATAATGTTTGGTTCTGCGACGACAACGTTTCCGTCGTATTCCGTCGCAAATTTGCGACGGATTTTGCGACTAATTGCGACAGAATAAAAATTTTCGCATTCCGTCGCAAATTCGTCGAATTCTGTCGTAATTTCTTTGCGACGGAAAAGTTTCGTCGCAAATTCTGTCGCTATATTAAGATTTTCTTGTAGTGAAGAAACATCAATCATTTAGGTTTTGGTTCATGTCATACACAGTCAACTACTATATATGTCCCTTTCCCTCCATTTTCTGATTTATAGAATTTCTCCAAAATCCATTTAATGTTCTTTATTTTTCCTCAACAAAATGCATTTTATCTGAATATAATAAACAAACTCGAAACCGAAACAAGAACACGAACAGTTCATTCATCTCTCTCTCTCTCTCTCTCTCTCTCCCCCTCTCTCTCGTTGTGTTCTTTTTTATCCATCAGTTTTCTTGATCCCCTCTCGAAAAGATTTTCTCTGAATTCCTGCACGCTGCGTTTGCCCATCAAGTCATCCAAATCAAGGAGCTTATCATTAGGCGCTTATCATTTCATCATTATATCCTCTCTTTCACCTAATGCCCGTGCAAACATATCATCCCTTATAATATTCTTGCGCCGCAAGAAAAGAGAAAGTTCCTGAACTGTGGAGATATATAAGGGGAAAATGACAGAGAAGGTGGTTCTGTACGATACGATACTTGCTCGTAGCTTCAGCCGGCACGAGCAGAAGAGACTTGGATATTTTGCTCTCGTCGCCTCTCTTCTCTTCGCCTTCATCCTCTTTACCGTCTTTAAGCCTTATCCCGTCCGTAAGTACTCTTTGATCGCTGCCCATTAGCATTCAGTTCATTACTACTACACATTTTCACGTTTAGAGAACGCAGAGACGAAAAACGTGTTTGAAAGCAATGTTTCTTTGCTTGTTTTGTTCAGTGGAGTTGCAGCTCTCAGTAGACGCCGGTCTCCGAATGCTGAGGACAACCGAAACGCTGCAATCAGAGACGCTCCAAAGCGACCCCAAAACGCTAGGTTCAGACATTGTTACTGTCTCCAATGTGAACCACGAAAATGAGACATTACAGAGATTGATCGGTTCTGACAATTGCAAGAACGATTCCGACCTATCAGGTTGACAACTTCAGTTCTTCCACCACCTTGGTTTTTTGTCTTCTTTCCTTTCCTTTTTTGTAAGATTTATGTTTATTTTAATTTTTGGGATTTTGAGCTTTTAAATGGATGTTTTGTAGTAGTTGAAGACCTTTTTTTGGATATTATTTTTAATATTGAAGTTTTATTTAGATTTTTGGGTAGTTGAACTTTGGATCATTTGTAGATTTTTTTTTGGAGTTTTCCAAAAAAAAATGTACGTGTTTTTTCTCCTTGCTAATTTAATTTTTCGTGATTTTATTTTTCAGACCAAAATGGCAAGGCCAAGAACACGAAGGCTGTGTGTCACAAACTTGCAAGAACTGATTTCTGCGAACTAAACGGCGACGTAAGAATCGCAGGACGAAACGCGATTGTTATTGCGATCAGCACCGCGTTTTCAAGAAATTCCACATGGCAAATCAAACCTTACGCCAGAAAAGGTGACGTCGCTGCAATGGACCGCGTTAGGGAATGGACGGTGAAATTAGCTCCAAACGCTGATCAAGAAAACGCTAGTTTTCAGCGTTGCGTTGGCAACCACAGCGTTCCAGCCGTGGTTTTCTCTCTCGGAGGCTACTCGCTGAACAATTTTCACGATTTCACAGACATCGTGATTCCTCTGTTCTTGACCACCAGAAAATTCAATGGAGAGGTTCAGTTTCTCGTCACGAACAAGAATCCATGGTGGGTCAAAAAATTCGAACAAGTGATTAAAAATCTGTCGAGTTACGAGGTGATCAACATCGACGAAGAAGAAGAACTTCACTGTTTCTCAAACGCAATCGTGGGTCTGAAACGCCACCCAGAGGTTTACAAAGAGCTCACGATCGATCCTTCCACGTCGGGATCCAAAATGTCGGATTTCAGACAGTTCCTGAGAGATGTATACGCATTGAGAAACACCGCAGTGATCGCTCATCCCAGACGCCGTCGCCGCCCAAGGATTATGATCCTGTCGAGGGGAAGAACCCGGGCGTTTGAAAACGCAGACGCGGTCGCAAGATTAGCCAAACAAGTGGGGTTCAAGGTCGTGGTGGCAGAAGCGAGCTCCAGCGTTTGGAGTTTCGCTCGAACCGTGAATTCATGCGACGCGATGATGGGCGTTCACGGAGCGGGTCTAACGAACATGGCGTTTCTACCCGAAAACGCCGTCTTGATTCAGATTCTACCGATTGGAGGGTTCGAGTGGTTGGCGAAGACGGATTTCGAAGAGCCGTCGAAGGGGATGAAGCTGAGATATTTGGAGTACAAGATGGAGCCAGAAGAGAGCTCGCTTCAGCGATTGTACGGACGCGATCACGAGATAATGAGAGATCCGACTGCGATTGTTAAACGCGGTTGGGAGGCGTTCAAGGAGGTTTACTTGGCGCAGAACGTGAGTCTTGATGTGGATAGATTCAGACCTGTTCTTGTTAAGGCTCTTGAACTTCTGCAGTGGTGAATAATCTTCACATTTGGACCGACCATATGGAATGTAAAATTATGTTTATTTAGTTTGCAATTATTGTTAGACCGAGCCTTGGGATGAATAATGTGTGGAGTCATGTTCCCACGTGTTTCCTTATTTATGGCTTTTAGTTAGTTTTTTTTTTAATAAAAACCTATACAATGGATGAATAAAAATAGAAAAATTCCCAAAAATAAATCATCCAATTTAGAGATAAATTACAGTTTCCTCGTGAATTGTTAAAATAATTATATTCATACTGAATTTGAATTTTTTTTTAAAAAAAAATCATTCAGAATTTGAATTTTTAACAAAATTCTCATCGGAATCGAACCACGTAGACAGAAAACACATACTTAGCATGTACTACTTCACCACATAGGATACACATTATATTAACAATAAAAAATTATAAAAAAATTATAAAAAATGCTAAAAAATTGAAAAAAAATGGAAAAAAATTATAAAAATTGTGAAAAAATTGCAAAAATTATAAAAATGTAAAATTGTAAAAAATTGTAAAATATTTTCAAAAAATGTAAAAATTGTAAAACAAATCGTAAAAAATTACAATTTTTTTAAAAAAATTGTAAAAAATTATAAAAATTGTAAAAACCTATTTAAAAACTGATTTAAAAACCTTTACTCCATTCCAATTTTTACAATTTTTTTATGAAATTGGTTTTTCAATTTTCATTCCTTTCAAATATATCACCCCACCAATTATATTTATATATACAATTTTTACAATGTTTTTATAATTTTTACAATATTTTTTTTCTTTTTACAATTTTTGCAATTTTAAAATTTTTAAATTTTTATAATTTTTTTATATTTTTAACATTTTTTTTACATTTTTTATTTTTTATTTTTATAATTTTTTAATATTAAAATTATATGTATTTTACGTGGCTAGTTAGTACATGTCACGTAAGCGCCATTTTTTAGAAAAAAATTTCAAATTTAGAATAAATATGATCATTTTAAAAGTTCGTGATGAATCTGCTAGTTATCTCTAAATTGGATGGTTTTTTTGAAAATTTTCCATAAAAATAAGCCCTTTCGTAGGCCCAAGATAAGAAAAAGTTTCATTGTCCTCTTTCGTTCTTCTCTTCTCCCATGCCATAGATTTTTTTTTGTGTTCCGCATTAAATTCAATATTTGTGAAGTCTCGGTTTTTAATTTTTGTCATGTGGTACTAGAGCTGCATTTTAAAGATCCGAGGGTTTATTATAAGAAAAAATACCTGAAAATTCTTAAACTTGTAAGTTGGTGTAATATTAATTCCTAAACTTATAGATGCACCTATTTATTCCCGAACTTGCATTTTTGAACACAATAATTTCTAAACAAACAGGTTTAAACCGTTTAAACCCAATTTATTTATGACCCGGTTCGATGGGTTTATCTATAAAACGGAACCTGATCTAATAGACCGGTTGTGCTTACGTGGCATCCCTTGCTGATTTGTCTCGACATGTCACATGCAAGTTCGGGAATAATATAGGTGCACCTACAAGTTCAGGAATTAATATTACACTAAATTACAAGTTCAGAAATTTTCAGGTATTTTTCTCTTTATTATATATGTTTTGAAATGCGTCCTTAGCAAGTATCACGAGGGAGAATACAAGTGATTTCTCGGGAGTTACCGAAGTGAGGATATCATCGAAAGAAAGAAATATTAACTATAGCGGTACTGGCAACTATAACGCCCCGTAACCTATATCCTTCAATACGAGTGCACCACATATACAACTAAAACATAAAATATGAATATTGAAAAACACATAGAAATTAAAATTTCTTTTATATTAATGTGTAACAAAAACAAATACAAAGTTGGTAGTGTACGATTTCAATAAAACGCAAATATGTAAAAACTACTTACCAATCGCGTAAAATTGAATTTGCATATCTTCGAGCCTCTGCCCAACTTCGTATGCGCTTCCACGCCCGTTGCGAACCCTTCCAGAAGCTTCCATATAAAACGTGTAGATAACCATGTTTCGGTTACGATCTCCTCACGATACTCCTATCTAAAACGTTGTATAACAACGTCATAAGATATGTGGTTTGGGAATAATAAGGCTCGGTGTGATTATGATTGGTTTTTTTGTTCAAGTCTCGGATTGTTGAAGAAACGGTTATGAGAGAAGTTGAAAAGACAGCAGTTATGAAGAAAGTTGTATGCAGTTTTGTGGGTTATTTACGGTTCTATATAAGAACAAGTGTTGGGTGTTGTACAATTTATTGCAGAAGGAGTTTCTGTAATCATATGTGAGTGTCTTTGTCCTTTTTTAGTTTAAAGGAGAGAGACTAAGAAGAGATCTCTTTAAAATGATCGAAGAGGACTAATTGTGAGAAAAATGTGCGTCTAAATTATGTTTGCGTTGTAATAAGAGAGTTTTTATTTTAAAAAAAGTTCTTTTTGGGATCTTTGTGAGTACGAATCGGATAAACGATTCGATTTCGGGTTATAATTTGGTTTTTTGTTTTTGGATTTGAAAGAAAAAAGAGATTTTGTTTTTCGGTTGTTCAAAGTAGAGAGTGCAAAGAAAGGTCACCCTCCGAGGAACAATAGTGAAAGATGATGACGACACAATGGTGTTATCCGTGTCACTATATTAATTAGTTCGTGAAGAAGAAGAAGGACGGTGGTGGTGTCGTGCGTTACAGTGGAGCATGAGACAGCCACATGGATTGAGTTTGTGAAACAACCGCGATACGATACATTGTTTTTGTTTCAGGAGGAACCTCCGGAGGAGGAGTTCCAAAAAACCGGTGTATCTCTATTACCGGAGATGGCAAACACAAGTTAACGGTGAAAACAAAATTTTCTGTTTTGTTGTTGAAAAAAGTTTGTGATATGAGTCTGAGAGACATTGAACCAAGGAGGAGTTTTGTTGGGTTTTTCGGTTCAAATCTCGGATTGCTAAAGAAGTTGAAAAGAAAGTAGTTATGAAGAAAGTCGTATGCAGTTTTGTGGGTTACTTACGATTCTATATAAGAATAAATGTTGGGTGTTGTAGAATTTATTGGAGAGGGAGTTTCTACACCCATTTGTGAGTGTCTTTATCCTTTTATGCTTAAAGTAGAGAGATTAAGAAGAGAACTCTTTGAAAGGATCGAAGAAGACCAATTGTGAGAGAAAGATGTTTTTTATGTTACAATAAGAGGGTTTTTGTTTTAAGAAAGTTATCAGATTACGAAGTTTCAGGTTATCATATGAAAGTTTAGAGGCGGCCCTATGGCGCCTTGCAGGTGTCTCCACCTAATGCGTGAGGCCGCTGTCTCTAAGAATCGAAGCATGAACAAAAGAAATTACTGAGAAATAGAGGTGAAGAAGAAAGCGGAAGGGAGGAAGAAGATGAATATGAATGAAAGGAATGGAAAGGGTGAAATAAGTGAAAAGATATTTAATTTGTTTTAGTGAAGTCCACGTGTATTATTCTCTCTAATAAAAAATTTCTACAAAATATTAAAATAATGATACAATAATATAGTTTAAATAATTAATATCTATAATTAGGTTATTAATAATTAAATTTATTATAAACATAGATTTATATTGTATTGATTACAAAAAAAGTCAAATATTGTTTACAATGATTATAATTTTTATTTATTTAATATGATTATTTTAATAGTGTTTTTAAATTTATTTTGACACTATTCCTCTTAAGATTTTATTATCAAATATTACAATAAAATTTAATAATTTTTTAAAAAATAAGTATAATTTTCATTTGTTTAATATTATTGTTCTAACATATTTTTAAAATTTAGATTGACAATATTTTTAATTTAAAATAGTTATAATATACTTTTCAATTGAAACTAAGTGGTACATAGCACCGGTTTTTTCGTGAAAAAGATTTTTGTGAAGAAACAAAATAACTAGGGTGTAAAATGGGCGGGTAGGATAGTTTTGGACCAGATTTGATTCGAGCCTAGATTTTTCGGATCAAGTTGGTCCACCCATTTATTGTTCGGACCTATGATCGGAGGTCTGTATCCCAGTCCTATAGAATTTCGGGTGGATTCGGATCGGATTTTGATTTTTTTTTTTCTATTTAATAAAAAATAAATATTAGTGCATAATAATAATATTGATGAGTTATTTAGCAGTTTTAAAAAAGAAATTAATAATAGCAAATTTTCTTCTGCCACAATAATAATTGAAAAACTTTTAAATCTAAAAATAACTATGTAAAAGATATTCGTTATAATATTTTTAATATATATAATATAAAAAAAATATTTGTTACAATAAAAAGTATAGAAATAATATTTATATAAAACTTAAAAATCAAAGTTAAATTTATATATATATATATATGTTTATGATTTTAGAAAAAAAAAATGATATATAATTTTAGTAGGGACGAATATGTTGGTCCTATTATATAGTTTATGATCCATATGACCAGAAATATAGTCTGGTTACATGTTAATTATATTGGTCATAACGTTAAATTTTGATTAGTGAGATATATAAGGGATGAACATAAGAATTAATGTGATCACCTAAATTTTATGTTATGACCAATGAGACCAACATGTGACACAATTATATTTCTGATCACATGTGTCATAGGATCACAGTTGAAGAAAAGTATGTGTTGAAGTCAAAATAACAAATGAATGGTATTTTTGATATAGTATCATTTTGTATATATATATATATATATTAACCAAACCGTTCTAAAAGATATATATATATATATATGCCGTGGTTTTCTCTCTCGGAGGCTACTCGCTGAACAATTTTCACGATTTCACAGACATCGTGATTCCTCTGTTCTTGACCACCAGAAAATTCAATGGAGAGGTTCAGTTTCTCGTCACGAACAAGAATCCATGGTGGGTCATATATATATATATATATATATATATATATATATATCTATCTATTATATGAAACATAATAAAAGTCTCTTTTTAATACTGTCTGATAAAAATATAATCATCTAATATTTTTTTGGGGCTAAATGAGCCTGTCGGACTCGTTTCAGGGTTTAATTTCTTCGGATCAGACTTACCCGTCTATTTATTTATCGGTCTTATATTATTAGTCCTAAACCCTTAATTTGTTTTTGTACAGATTTGGGCAGAGTTTCTGAGTTTTGGGTTTTATTGATATCCTAAAAAAAAAACCATTTAAGTCTCTTTGTTATTATTGACTGTGATGAGCTATTATTATTGGTATTATTACTCTTTCGGCCCTAAAAAGTTGATGCTTACCTTTTTTTTGGTTTAACACAACAAATTACGGTAAATCCCCCAAAATTTGTAAATAAGTTTTATAAATAAATAAAAATCTTAATCTTGTATCGTCCCACTAAAACACAAGAATTTGGTAGCGATTTCTGCCGAAATTCTTCGACTTGCATTTTGATTTCAAATTAATCCGTTGATTTTGTTAATCAAATATTCCGCCAATTGGTCACTGAGGTGACATCATGACCAACTTGAGTTAAAGTTATATCAACGTTTTAAGTTCAAGATTTTTCTACAAATTATTATTACAAATAAATATTCCTTTTTCATCATATATTAAATAAAACTATATATATCAAACGAGTGAGAGTTTTATTGCACCGCATTGAGATGTTGTCGTGATGGTCTGAAGTAGTATCTTTTAGAGGATTCTTTATAGGTTTGTCTATAATACACACATATATATATATATTATAAAAGCACCAACAAAAAAAAAACTCATGATGATAGATTAGGATTTCTACTATCATATTTTAACATGGTACCATGTGACTATGTGAATATGGTACCGGGAAGAAACAAGTTGCAACTCGCCGGACCTCTGACTTCTCTCTAGAGAGAGAAACTCTCTGACTTCTCTCTACATTTTTCTGTAAATTGTTCCGTTACCGTTAACGCCCTCGCCGGCCGGCGCCGCCGGCTGGTCACCACCAGATTCCTCACCGCAACGATGACCCCTCGCCTGCGCTCTTCTTCTGCTCCTCCTTCTCCAGGTTTACTCGGGCCCCCTCCTTCCAAATATCTTCTTCCCTCTTCGCAGGATGGCCCCCGATCATCTCTCTCCATGAAATCCCCCAAAATTCCCTATCTATGTTCTTCTGCCTCCCTGACCCAGTCAGACTTCAGCTCTGCTACTCACGAAGTGGACTCCTTGGATAAAATGAGGCTCTACCCTCAGGATAAAAACACACCGGCTACTTCATCACTCTCCCGGCGAAACTCCACGTCCTGCCCTCCCTCGGGAACGAGAACTCCTAGGAACGCAGATCTGCCCCCTCCTACATCAGATCTGGCAGATCCGAAGGCGCTTGGAAAAGCCACTCAACCTCCCCAGGGCTCCCCTCCCCCTGCGGCCACTCCAAAATCACAGCAGGTGGCGCGAGTCAGCTCTCCCGCGACTAATACTCAGAACTGGAGCGAGAAGTTGATGGCGAACATTCGAACTCTCAAACCCACTGGCATACCATCGCTACACGCTACTGGTATACCTCTGATTCAAATTCCTCTGGAATCCATCACCGACTCAGCTGATGAATGGAAGGAGTTTGTCATAGGCCAATTTTACGGCCTTCCTCCCACAATCGGAAAAATTGACGGAGTAATCAACTCTGTTTGGTCCAAGAATGGTCCTAGAATCAAAATCCAGAATATGGGCAATGGAAAGTTTATGTTCAAGATGCCGAATTCGTCTACCAAGAAGCTGGCACTCAGCAGAAAAATCTGGCATGTTGGTCCATGCCCGTTATACGTTTCGGAATACTCGCCCTTCCACGATCCGAACAAACCCCCACTAACGAAGATCTCTACGTGGGTCTCTCTCAGAGGGGTTCCTCACCAGCTTTTCAATTTCGACTGTTTGAGTCGACTGATAACTGGCATAGGTATCCCCATCTACCTTGACAAAGCGACGTCGCCGAAGGAGAACCTGACAGTGGCGCGCATATACACAGAAGTGAACGTCACGGCTAAGCTACCACGAAAATTAGCGGTAAATCTTCCATCGGGTGATGAGATATACATCGATGTTGACTATAGCTGGTTGCCCCCGCGTTGCCAATCTTGCTCGGAAATTGGACATGTGGCCAGATATTGCCCTTCATCCCAGAAACCAACTGCCTAGATAGAAACTGAGAAAGTAAAGACCTCGCAGACTGAGAGCACTGAATTACCTGCTTAAAAGGAGCAGATTTCAAATGCCTCTTCACCTAGCTGCCCAAAGCTCCTCCAAACTCCTGTCTCCGCAACTGGTAGCCACCATGAGCATCAACGAGACAGACCATTTTCTACCAACCAGACCTATGAAAAACTAGTGAAATCAACGCAGGCTTTCCAGCAAGAAGCTGGAAGCTCTGACCCGATTGCACATGAAAAGGAGATGCGTGATACAGGTACTCATGATAATATTCACCCAAATCCGCAACTCCAAAGTCTGCAACAACAAGATGAAGAGTCGACACCAATACCTACTGCCCCTACAGATGGAAAACAGAACCGCAAGAACAAGTCGGGTGCAGCAACAAAAAACACAAAACCAGAAACTGGAAAGGGTAACACTCCTCGCGGTCGAAAAGCCACGAGGAATCGTAACTAACTATCGTAAGATCTTCCATGATTTTTGCCTGGAACATTAGAGGCCTAAATGGTCGAAATAAATGTTTTTTGACTCGTCGTTGGATCAACGACAACAATCTTTTTTTTGGTGCTTTGTTGAAAACACATATCAGGGAGCGAAATGCCTTGCGAGCCTCTCTTGCATTCCCGGTCGGCTGGCAACTTTACTGCAATTACACTCATGATCAATCTGGCCGTATATTCGTTGGCTGGGAACCTACTGCGACAGTATTCATCTATAAATCCAGTTCTCAGACAGTCACTTGTGGATTTGAGCATCCTACACTTCCATACGGGATCACGGTAACTTTTGTTTATGCTAATAATTCAGCAAATGCTAGAAAGATTTTATGGCAGGAACTAAAGGAGCTTTCAGCCTACCCACCACTAGCAAATAAGTCATGGGTTGTGCTTGGCGATTTCAACCAAACGTTATTCCCCTCGGATCGATCGGATTACCCGACCCAAACTGCTATCACATCCTCTATGCAGGATTTTAAAGACTGCCTCTTTGCAGCGAACCTGGCGGATATACCATACCAAGGGTTCCGGTACACTTGGTGCAACAACCATCATGACGTCCCGGTCTCCATTAAATTGGACAGAATTTTAGGCAATACGGTTTGGCTGACTGATTTCCACTCGTCGGGAGCAGAATTCGGAAGTCCAGGCCCCTCGGACCATTCTCCGGGAATTCTAAAAATCCCGACAGCAAAGCGCCAGGTACGTAAACCTTGCAAATTTTTCACGCATCTGACTCTAGCCCCGAATTTCCTGTAGGTGGTGGCTGAAAACTGGGCAGCTCGGGCCCCGACAAATCATCAATACCACCTCTGCAAGTCCCTCAAGCAGCTGAAATTACAACTACGAGCACTAAACAGAAACTGCTTTAGTCAGATCTCACAGAGAACTCTACAAGCTGCTGAAAGTCTGAAATTGGCTCAACAGGCCCTATACGAATACCCCTCCTCAGTACTCTTTCGATTGCCGAAGAAAAATTCTACCAACAAAAATCCCGCATTTGTTGGCTGCAAAAGGGTGATCAGAATACCGGTTTTTTTCATCGTGTTGCAAACTCAAGAAATGCAAGAAACAAAATTCTCTACCTATTGGACGATGAGGGCAATCGGCTGGAGGATTCAGGACAGATCAAGGAACACGTAGTCTCCTACTATCAACAACTCTTCGATCCAGCAAATGCTAGCCTACCAACAGACATTACCATAGAAAGGATCCAAAGTTTGCTGAATTATACTAGCCCTGTCGAAATGCACCAAAGCCTACTGTCAGTGCCCACTCCTCAAGAAATCTATCAAGCACTGAAGTGGATGCCTGAAAACAAAGCACTAGGACCTGATGGGTATACGAAAGAATTTTTCGCAGCCTCATGGACTGTAGTTGGACAAGATACGGTGAAGGCAATTCAGGAGTTTTTCGAAACTGGGCAACTTCTTGGCCAGATAAATGCTACGATGATCTCGTTGATTCCGAAAAGGGCTGGAGCAGACAAGTTAAGTGAATTCCGACCTATTAGCTATTGTAACACTGTCTACAAAGCCATCTCTACCATAATCACAAGCAGACTAAAGCCGATTCTCAAGCAAGTGATTTCATCGAACCAGGGAGCATTCATACAAGGTAGATTGATGCTGGAAAACATCTTAGTGGCTTCAGAAATAATTAGGGACTATCACCGGCCTTCAACGGAGCCTAAGGCGATGCTGAAAATCGACATACGAAAAGCATTTGACACCATTAGCTGGAGTTTCATAATCAAGATATTGAGAGCCATTGGTCTGCCACTAAGATTTGTTAAATGGGTTCAGCAATGCATAACAACTCCGAAATTCTCGATTTCGGTTAATGGGGAACCGGCAGGATACTTTCCGAGTGGCAGAGAGCTTCGACAAGGAGACCCGCTATCCCCGTATTTATTCATACTTTCCATGGAAGTCCTGTCGAGGATGCTAGATGAATCAGCCACCTCGGGCAGATTAACTCCACATTATGGCTGCAAAGACCCGCTAATCACTCACTTGTCTTTCGCGGACGATGTCATAATATTCACAGAGCGGTTCAAGAGGTTATTCAGCAGTATGAGACACTCGGGCCTTCGAGTGAACTACGACAAATCTGATTTCTTTACTGGGGGAGTTACCGAGCAAACGGCAGACCAACTGGCAGGAATATTGGGCATCCGACGAGGAACATTACCAATTCGCTACCTTGGCATTCCGCTAAGTCCATGGAAATTATCTAAGCACGACTACCAACCGTTGTTGGACAGAATCAACGCCAAAATAAATTCATGGACATCAAAATTTCTGTCATATGCTGGCAAGGTACAATTGATTTCCTCTGTGATTTATGGTTTAGTTAACTCATGGTGTTCGTTGTTTCTGCTGCCCAAATACTTGCTTAAGCAGATAAACAACATATGTGCAAATTTCTTGTGGAAATCCACCTCGACGAGTGGAGGGGCACACCGAGTTGCCTGGCCAATTATTTGTCTCCCGAAGAAGGAAGGCGGATTGGGACTGGTAAACTGGTAGACGTTAATCTGGTGGCAAGGATGAAATTGGTGTGACTACTATTCTCCAAGGCTGGCTCTTTATGGGTAGCATGGCTCAAAGCCAACATTTTCAAGCGGCTGTCTTACTGGTCAATCAACCCCTCGCCACGACATACTTGGAACCTACGGAAGCTAATTGGACTACGGTAGCAAGTCAGACCTTTTTTAAAGCAAAAATAGGTGATGGAGCCACCACCTACTTTTGGCTCGATTCTTGGACAGAGCTTGGGCCTTTGATTGTTTTTGCAGGGGAACTTGGACCGAGAGAACTGCGAATCCCTCTCCACGCGATGGTCAAGGAAGCAACGAACGGGGAAGGCTGGAAGCTACCACCGGCACGATCAAAGCGGCACAAAGAATCCACGAAATCTTAACCACGAAACCTATTCCAACACCAGATAATGGGCCTGATAAAATGCAATGGAAGCAGGGACAAGATCTATTCGCTGAAAAATTCATCTCCTCAGCAACCTGGAGGCTCTTACGTTCACCATCAGTTGAAGTTCCTTGGGCGAGCGCAGTTTGGTTCAAGCAAACAACGCCGAGACATGCTGTTATCCAGTGGCAAGCATTCTTGGGAAGATTACCAACACGAGACCGGCTACATCGTTGGGGACTTCAGCAAGAGACTATCTGCTCGATGTGTTATTCGGATGACGAGACGCACAACCATCTATTCCTTCAATGCCAATTTAGCTCCAGTATATGGCGCCACTTTGCAGAGAAGATTTGGTGCAACCCCCCACTCTTACTACATCAGATTCCTCATTGGATTGAGGAGGCGACGATTGATCGAACACGACAGCGAGCTGCACTAGGGAGAATAACACTACAAGCATTGGTTTATCTTGTTTGGCAGGAGAGAAATAGCAGGATTTTCCGCGCACAGAGCACTCAACTGCCAGATTTCATTCATAAGCTGGACCGGCTAGTTCGGAACATTATCTTATCTTGCCAAACGAGCATGCAACCTCGTGAAAATTTGTTACTACAGGATTGGTACTATATCACAAGGCCTCCCTGATATGTCTTTTGCTAGGAAAACAATAGGCATGGAAGTTTTATTTTGTTAACCGATTTCAAAACGGTTCTGTAAACTACAAACAATAATTTTTTTGGTTAATAGATGCACATTTCATCAAAAAAAAAACAAAACAAGTTGCAACTCATAATAAAATTTCAACACTACAAAGTGGGAGAAATATGATATGGTATAGAGAGAGATATTTCTGTAAATACCACCACTATATAAAGTAAAGTTTAAAAATTAAAATAAAGAAAAAATATTTAAAAATTTCTGAACTTGTAATTTAGTATAATATTATTTTCTAAACTTGTAAATACGTCTATTTATTCTCGAACTTGTATTTTTTAACACAATAATTCTTTAACTTGCATTTTTGAATACAGTAATCTCCAAACTTATATTTTTGAATACAGTAATTCCTAAAATTTGCTTTGGTCAGTTCGTTGTATGGACGATTATGGAACTATTAAGGATGTTTAGGAATTACTGTGTTCAAAAATACAAGTTCAGAAATAAATAACCTATAAGTTTATAAATTAATATTATACCAAATTACAAGTTCATGATTTTTCAGGTATTTTTCTCTAAAATAAAACAATAACAATTGTAAGCTATAATATTAAATATGTCTGCACCATAATTCTATAAAGATACATATATAATGTAGAAAGAATATTTTCTGTAAATGAATTTATTCAAACTAGTCATATACAAACTTATGTACTAGCACAACGTGTTCCAACGATATCTCATTACCAAAATAAGTCATAATCATTATATATAAAGATATATTTATCTGTAACAACAACAATAATAACAATGTTGGGCATGAGGATCTTATAAAGTTTTTATATCACCGATGTTTTCCGGGTCCACTTTATATGATATCAATTTCCATGTGATCTTTGAACATTCTTTTATTTATTTTTCACATTATAATTTTTTTAATTAATAAAGAAATAAGGTTTTGTAATCGTAACCCATTTAATTAATATATCCATCAAGATCGAAAGATCTTTCATTTACAAGGTCTAAATTAGTTATTTATGTTAGATTTCGAGTTTTAATTTTCAAAACAAGAGAAAAAATGAGATTGTGTTGGTAAGTAACATGGTCAATATCTAGAGAGGTTGAGGGTTCGACTCTTTGTTCACCTGTCAGCTGTAAGTTACGATTAATTTACTTCTCACGTGTGTGACGCGAACTCGTATACATGGATAAGATTTCAGCCAGCGCGTCCGAAGAGTAGCACTTTGGATTCCCCACGGTATAAAAAATGCAGTTTTAGTTTTTTTTTTCTCTCTCGGTAGAAGTACTTCTTGTCCAACTATCTACTAATGTAACGACATGGATCTCACAAAATATTTGTTACTTCACTACTGTGAAGGAATATTGGCATTTGGTTATTTTCCGTTTGCTCTTGTTGGGAACGTGACTCAAAAGTAGTTTTAGAGAAGTTATGGCGCAATTATATGTCAGCTTTATAAGTGTAAATTGAAACAGTTATATGTAGTTATGGGTAGTTATCTCTATAGGTCTATATACATATAGGAATTATACTAGAGAAATTTGTGTCTTTTCTTTTTGTGTTCAAAGCAAAGAGATAAAGAATCTCTTTAAAAGGAACAATGAGATAAGGACAACCACTATATGGTGTGTAAAAGTGTATGTTGTGTAATGTTTGTGTTGTAATAAAAAGAAGGTTTTTTATGAGAGTTTTTCGATTTTTAAAGAGATAACAGCCCTGTTATTCATGGTTTAGTAGAAAGTTTTTAGATATCTAATCCTTGAATTTTAAAATTTTGCTTTTATCTTCTTTTGATATGATATCATAGTTTCTTATTCAGATAATCTATTTATTCATGCAATAGATTATTCCCGTTAAAGTGGCAAACAACATTGATACTGCCATTAAAAATTTCTAAAACTGTTATTGTTGATATTAAGAGAATAATTAACCAAACAAGGTAAACAATTAGTAAGTGTTCAAAAAATTATGATATTTTTTTACAATTGCAATTCCACTCAAAACATGCGGATAATTATAAATTATCAGATCAATAGTAAATATTGCTGTAATGATTAATCACACGGATCCCGAAACGCACGCTTCCTCCCTTTTCATGCTTTATTCAAAACCATAACATATATATATATATATATATATGAGTATTAATAAGTGCATATCTCTGCGACGAAAATTTATGGGATGTGATGTGTCATAAGGACAAATCCATATTGGAGGAAACAATAAATTTAGACAAGAACTTCAAAACCCGTAGCCTACAAAATTTCATTTAGATATATTTATTTCCATAATTAGTATAGTTATAGTGTATAATGTGTGTGTGTATAGATATATAATGGATATGTCTTCTTGCTCATGATTTTAGTTACGTATATTCTAAGCATCCAATTAATTCGATGAAAGCTTTTGTATGTATATTACTGTATATTGGAATGATTTTGTTTAAGTTTTCACTTTCTCCACATTCCATATTATATATATATATATATAGTTTTCTATCTCCTCTTGTGTGACAATAATATTTTTTTGCTTTTCTATATTCTTTCGACTTAAAAAAAATAGAGAAATATTAAGGAAAGAGGAAGAAAAAAGAAAAAAAAGAAAGGATTTCCATTGTTTCCACTTTCCACTCTATAAATAGAGAGAGCGGAACACAGCCCAGACCAGACAGACACACAGACACAGAGAGACAATACATATCATCGACGATGAAGACGGCAAAGTGGATTACCGTAATTGCCCTCGCGGCGGTGCTCCTCCTCCTGCGGCCGGCGGCGGAGGCGGTGACGTGTTCGCCGTTGGAGCTGAGCCCTTGCGCTGCGGCGATAACGTCGGCGAAGACTCCGCCGTCGGGACAGTGTTGCCAGAAGCTGAGGGAGCAAAAGCCATGTCTCTGTGGTTATCTCAAGAACCCTACCCTCCGTTCCTTTGTTAGCTCTCCGAATGCCAAAAAAGTCTCCACCAAATGCAATCTCCCTTTTCCCAACTGCTGAATCTACAATCATATAATTCACGCTCATGTTTTCATTTAATCCATGATTATGATTTCTCAGTTAGTGTTTTAATCTCATGATGTGGGTAGAAGTTTTTATTGCAGATTTATGTTTCTGCAATCTTGTGTGTATATGTAAGTTTGTGTATTGTATGTGAGTTATGAGTGGATGAGTAAATGCAGAAAAAGTGGTAAGAAAACGTCTTTATTGTGTGAGTGTTTGATTTATAAAAGCTGTCAAGCTAAGCTCTAACCCTTCTTCTGGTACAGAGACTCTCAGGCCCCGGTTCTTCCAAGAACACCTCTTCCACTAACCCTACGACTCTCGAAGCTTCTGTTCCGCTGTCTCGGGCAGTTACTTTCCCGGCTAATGATTCCCACAACATTCTTACCTCAATCCTGCATTTCCACATCATGGGCCCAAATTCAGTTGTGTTTAATAGATTCGCTTTAGATTCATACCAGACACCGTTCTTCTCCAAGAACCCGGGACTAGAATCTTGGACTGAGATGAGAAGGCGGGTTCCTGGCTCGAGAAGTACGACACGAGATGGGACTTTGAACACTGATTGGATGTAGATGGCTCTTACAGAATGGGGCAAGAGAAAAGTGTCTGGTCCGCAATTTCTAGCGGATTTTTTTAGAGAATTCGACGAATTCACCACAAACCCAAGCAACCGCGGATAATATCAGGTGAAAAAACGGATTGCCATGGAGGATCGTTAAGCAACACCCGAGAAACACGAACCAGTTACGGCCGGGCATCTTTGACCCTCGAGTTCGATCAACTGATGCTCCATCTCTTCCCCCTCTCCGGCAATGCGGGATTCTAGTCATTTCCCCAAGAAGAGACACGTACCAATCGAAATCAAATAGGACCGATAATATCATTGCAGAATAAAGGGTCTGATTTAAGGGCGTAATTCAGGAGAATCCAGGAGATCTCTGATACATTATCTTCATTCGCCATTGCCATTTGTAGAAACCAAACTCCCAAACCGATGTTTTGATTTTCAAACCAAAATCAGAAACAAAGATCAAGAGAAACATTTACGAAATATTCTAAAAACCTTACTTTACTTTTGTTCTTTTGTTACATCCTTAAATAGAAAAGGTGAATAATAACAACCAAACTACAAATACGCAACTACAACTTTGTCCGTTTCTATTGGACACGACTCCAACTAAAATGTAAAACTGCAGACTAAATCTTAGACTTATTCAACACTAAACCGAAACATTTAACCGGACACGAACCAAGATAAATCTGAACCGACATTTAACAAGATTATATCTAACACCATTAACAGATTTAATGGCTCGAGCTAAACGTTCGGATCCTCATCGCTCAGAGCCTAACTGCCCACAAATTCGTTGGAGGCATGCAGACCGAGATACTTGAGATTTGGGTCATCATGGCCGATTCCTGGTCGCTCATGCTACTCTCCTCTGTCATAATACACTCGAAAACAAGAGACATCGATGCCTTCGTCCTTCTTAGCCAACCTCAGCTATATCAGAGCCACCTTTGCCAAGATTTTCAGAACCCTAATCAGAGCCCAGTTGTTGTTCGAATCAATCAGAATGTCATACAACTACGGATCTAAGGGAAAGATACGGTCCTGGGTCCGACCACCGCTGACAGAATCTGAGTATTGGAGCTCTCAAGACTGTCGACAAGACGCTTGAAACATACCCTAACAGCATTAGGGTTCTTGTCCAAAACCCTCGAGACCAGACCCAATAGCTTTTTTTGCCTGACGAAAAACTTGCTACTACCCAAGGCGTGAAAACCTCGGGCGCCAAATCCCTAGCCAGATCATCGGTTCCAATCCTAGACAAAAATTCACAAGCGTGACTAACCTCGTACTCGTTCGTACTGTTCAAATCCTTCCGGAGCGTGTTCGTTATCAGAAGCAGAAGAGGTGTCTGGTCGCTGATCTTGAAGGGTTGAGCAATGGCGTGGCAACCGATCCTCTTGTCAGCAAAGTGAGACGAAGGGGCAACCTCCAGGGCTTGGAAAGCGGCCCACAACATGCCGATGGCCTGTTTGGTTCCCAAGAAAATAATGGGCCATTAGGGGAAAAAAAAACGTTTTTTGGGGTTAAGTCCAATCACCATTTAAAGAATATTTTTTGGTGGGCTTCTTATATATTATTCAACAGTTTTGTTTTAACAATTTCATTATAATTGTTAAATCAAATGAATTAACATATATCAATATCCTTATATTTTCTATTGTAAATCCATATCGCCAAGAATTTAAAATTATTGCTATACATATTTATGAAATAATAATATTAATAATAAAAATATTATTCAAACAATATAGTATAATTAAATACCTAGATAATATATTATACTTAAAATTATATTTTGTTATGATAATAATTTTTTTTTGCTAGAAATTGGTAGAAACTGTATAATTTGAAAAATATATAGAAAACATGTGGCTTTTTATTAGTAAAAGAAAAATAAAAGATTTAATTAGATTTTATCTTTTAAAGTAATTTCATATTTTAATAAGTAAAAATAGTTTTCAGCAAAGATTACAATTTGCTATATTGATAATATCTAATTTTTCATTTCACTAATTATCCCTTTTTTTCTTATAACCCCTCGATATTTAGTATCATGGAAAATACCAAATATTAGACTGAATAATTTTGAAAAACATTAGTTGTCATCCTTTCCAATCAGCCGAATTTGTCATCATGGAAAAAAGGAGAGAAAAAAAAAAGCAAAAATAATAGGAAGCAAAGCAATTGTCCACAAATCAACATCCATGTGGATGGTTGGGCCCCACTCCCATGGACCGTTTTTGGTTTTATCCTTTTCAGTAGGGGTGGGCACGGGTCGGATACCCGGGAAAATCGAGAGATTTGGATTCGGATCCGGGAGGCTCGGGTATTTAACTATGAGATTTGTATCCGGGATTTGGTATTTACGAGTATCCGGGGTACGGGTATCCGGAATAATAGTCGGGTACTCGCGGATATCCGGATCCGGATTTATTTAAGAAAAACAACAATATTCATATATAAAATTTTTAAAACATGAAGATATATTTATAAAAATTGATGAATTATGATAAAATATATAAGACAAAAGAGATAATAAGAGACAAATAATAATAAATTTAATTTTTTTGAATTAATATTAAAAAAATATGAAATTATTTCATCTAAAATAATTGTATTTTATAAAAATGTTATATAAATATAAGATATAATTATTTATAATCATAATACGCGGGTATCCGCGGATATCCGGTTTTAAAAATTCTATTATCCGGATTTGGATCCGGATTCACGGGTATTGAAAAATAAGGATTTGGATTCGGATTTGAAAATTACGAGTACCCTAAAATCGGGTATCCGTGAGACGAGTATCCGACGGATACCCGATTTTCGGGTATTTGTGCCCAGCCCTACTTTTCACAACGAAAAATAAAAATAAAAGTTGAACAGCAGATAAAAAGATATAATAAAAGAGGAGAAGAGGAGACCAAATAGTTTACGTATCACATTATATGATAAAACTGGTTCGGATGGATATTTTTTATTTATTCATTTTAAAAAATTTATTCCTATGTCGCATCTGATTCCTTTATAGTATTTAAACGTGGTTCGAATTTATTAAAAAATATGTTTTTAATTTTTTTTTTTGTATTTTAAAAAATATATTTAATTTAAATTTGATTAATTTGGTTTAACTAAAATTATATCCAAACAGTTAAATATTATTCTATTTGATTCGAATAAAACGAAATATATATTTTTAAATCATATTACATCTATACATTTTAAGTCAAATGAAATTTAAATAAGGATAAGCTATATGAATAGGTTTTACATGAATAAAATATTTTCATTAGATAACCGTTTGAAAATTAAACCTGGAAAAATATTTAAAAAATGAAAGATACAAATAAATTATTGTTGTTATTTTCTTCAAAATTTTGAAGTATATGTTACTAGTTTTTTTAAAAGGAAAAAACAACTAGATTTTTTTTAAGAGGACACGACTTTATATTTATCCAAAAGAGAACAAGACAAACACTAAAATAATGATGTTGGTCGGATTTATTCATAAAATTTCCGTGTCTTGTATATTATATCTTTCGTTAATCTTGGATATAAAGTATCGTAATTTAATTAATACGTTAATATTTTCAATTTTTGTTATTAAATTATAGAATTATATCTAAATTTAGCCTATATAAAACAAAAAAAAAATAATTTATTATAAATGTGATAAACCAAAAATACGAAATCGAATAGGAAAACTAGAAAAATAAAATTTTTAAAAAAAAGAGGAAAATATCCTATCAACTTTAAAGAAAGGCAGAGAGAGAGAGAGAGAGAGAGAGAGAGAGAGAGAGAGAGAGAGAGAGGGGATCAAAAGTGAAATGAGTAGTCATGGATCATGTAATCCAACACAATCCACACTAACTCATCTTCACACCACTTGGTGTCCCCTCACGGTATTATTGCTTTTGCTTAATACTTCCTCATTGATGGGAAGAATTTCAAGTGGATATTATTTGAATAATCATCCAAAAAAATATATTTTCTATTTTTTTTAATCAATTTATTGTATCTTTTCCGCCGATTAGAGCAGGTTGATCGACATTCGGTCAAAAAAATGAGAGGGAATCATAATATTATATTAGATTTGTTTTGGATAATACACAACTAAATATATATTTAAAATAAATCATGTTATAAAAATATAGATTATAAAATTGAAATGAATTAGATCTCATATATGAATTTTTTATATATTTCAACAAATTTCTTTTATAATGTTGATATTTTTCTGAAATTCTAAAGATTAGAATGTATAAAATAGGGTAGGAGATATCCAAAATTTTTAGAATATCTAAAATAGAATTATGTATATTAAAATTCAAATTCGAATCTTTAGATATCCGAATTATATTATCTACAATGCAATTTTGAATATCCATGAATTTTCAAACCCAAAAATTTTAAACAAATTTTTTTATTATATAAAAACTTAAAGTTGATAGTTTATGTAACAACCCAAAAAAAATGATGATGACGATCGATTGATCGTCCAAAGACGATCGACCGATCGTGAAACAAACACGATCGATCAACCGCGACATAACGATGGCGCGATCGTCCGTCGAAAAATAGAGTGACAGCGACGACCAGCGGACGAAATTTTTCATGCCGTC